CTCCCTAATTAAATATGTCCACGCTTAGTACTAGGCAAAAAGACCAGACTAAGCGTGAGGGGGAGTATTAGAGTAATTAAATATTAAATCACGCCTTCATCTAACAGCTTAAACTTTTAGAACAGTTGACAGTTGTCCCATAAAATCTCACAAAGGCAAAGCTTAAACAGTAACAATACATCCATACAAAAAATCTTGAAACTCGCATTGCATAATTTTGGACGCATCCTCTGAGATTTTGAGACATCTTGTGCGATTTCACCAGTTTAAGGTTAGGGTCACACGTGTCGCCTCCCCTATGTGCGACAAGTGACGTGGCAACGCCATGGAAAATTTGGTCAAAATAAAAATGAAAGACTCTGCATAAGAACAAGGTAACATTCTCCAAATTGCAATCTGCGGCTAAAGGTCAAATTGAATCTCATCTCACCGATAAATGCTGAAAATCCTACAAAAATAGTCCAAAAATGCAGTTGCTAAATTTATGAACAAATTTTTATGTAATTAATTTTATACTCGTCGCGGTGTTGATCTACGTATCAGGATATGAATTACCAATAGTCAAAAACAAAAATTGGGTATTAGTGATCTATTCTTCAAGTAATGTTCTACATAAACAATGAATTTAAACATCTAAGTTGGGTATACTATTTTCCAATCATATACAAAAACAAAAGCAAAGGATGTTGAGAAGCATCCGAGTTTGTCACTAGGCATTTGACTGAATAGGATCCTATAATTCCTGCAAAACTTATCAAGGATGTCTGAGTGATCCATAATCTCTATTGAATTTTTCTTTGAAGTTCAATTTCAGTCAACTCACGCATCAAAAATTCAATTTTTTGGTACTTTATGCACTAACGTGATAACCAAGTGTCGCGTGAGCAAAACTCTGTTCATGTATCTCGGAGAATAACATTCAACGCAAAGTTGACCGAATTTTCGAATGCATCAATTATAAAATCAAAATTTACTAGTGCTCTCCTATTTTGACTTTCTCGAAGCCTCCGTTAGCACAATCGAGACGAGGATGGGTTCTCTGCCCATGTGTGGATAGAGCGACAGAAGTTTTGAGAATTCAAAAGGTCACAGCAAGAGATATCCTATTAAAAAAATACCCAATTCTCTCTTGAGTAAAGACGGCTACTTTAGGATATTGTGCCATTTCCAATTTTAATTGCCATGGTTTCGCTACATCACAATTGCTCCTTGTGATAAATAAAAGGAGCAATTGGAAGTGGTGCATATTGTGGTTGTTTCATGGGATTGATTGTGGAACCGAGCAGAGAGAATTAAAATAAAAATTAAGTGAAAGATGAAACTCAACTTAAAAAGCTGGTAGAGGGGTATAGGGTTACATGGAGCGAAAGGTTTTGCACAATATGTGAATAAATGTTCTTTTCTCCAAGCGGACCAACATGTAAATGTCAAGCACGTGGCTCACTATAATCTGTTTGTTCATGAGTTGTCATTGTGAATGCCAATTGTTCTACTTTTCGACGTTGTATAGTGAAAGTGGAAAGGAGTTCTCTTTCTTTCCAACTTTTTTTGGGTTTAATTTACATTCGGCACCCTGGTTGAAATGATGGCTCTCATAGGGGGAGTTCAGGCTCATCATTAGGTTAAAAATCATTTCTGAAGGGTACTAATTACAGTTGAAAATATGTTTCAAATTTAAGTCAATAAAAAAAATATCTGATCCAAATAATTTCTTTGTTTAAGTAGATCTTTTAATTTAAGTGATTTCCTAGTTAGAGAAAGAGTTTCCTATTTTCGATATATATATATGATATGGAATTCTACTGGGCGGATACACACGAGCAAACAAGAGGAGCGTTAGGTTTTCTTTTTGCGGGTTTGCTGTCGTTGTAATTTAAAATAAACAATGAAAAAGCTTACTCGTGATGAAAATTTAAGGGTGAACACAATAGAATTTTGGGAATAAAGAAAGAAAAGGGGTTTTGTGTTTTGTAAAATCATTTTGTAGCAGGAAGACGTGACCTCTCACTTTCCATGGCATGGTGTATGTGTGAAGAGGTTAGAGAAGGGAACTAAAACCATTTGTGCGTAAAACAGAGAGACTCCTAAGCTGTCCTAATTGGGGAGTCCAGACAAATTTGTATTAAATGCTTGAACTCTCACGCTCCCATGCACTATAAATACCACTTCCGGCCACCATAAACTTCATTGAAGACTCCACCTAATTGTAAATTTTCTTATATGCACGACGTACCCAGAGAGAGAGAGAGAGAGAGAGAGAGAGAGAGAGAGAGAGAGAGAGAGAGAGAGAGAGAGAGAGAGGAGCATGCAAGTGATGAGGGACCAGCAAGTGATCAGTGATGCGGTTCCGTCGTCGCGGGGTCATGGCGGCAGCGGCAGCGGCGGCGGCTGTGGCGGCGGCGGCAGCGGCGGTGGCAGCAACCGCATAGTGGCTATCAACTTGGAGGGGAGCAGCACCTTGCCGCTGCCACCGCCTCGTGCAACCGACGACAGCAAAAGCGTGGATTATCATCATGACGAGGAGCTTGACCATCATCATCAGGTGCCGTTCTCTAATAGCTCTCTTGCTGTCCATACAAAGAGCTGTAGTGTCCTACTTAGGTGCTCATTAACAAACGTCGAAAGAAAAATTTTGAGAAAGTGACTGCGAGTTTCTATTGTTTGTCGTGAATACCAGAAACCCGGGTGGAGAAAATTCATGTCATTTGTGGGCCCCGGCTTCCTCGTCTCACTTGCTTACCTTGACCCCGGAAACTGTAAATCTCTATCCCTACTTGCATGTAACCGCAAAAAGTATATATTTCAAAACACCAGCTCTGCTTCTTAAGATCAAGTGTCAAATTTTGAACGGTGAAACTGGCTGTTGATTGGACGGAGACAAAACCATTTTTCCATTTGCTTGCTGTGGACACAGGCTGATTAAAGCTAGTAACAGACTTATTAAACGGGTGGATCGGGTCAGGTCGGATCATAAATGGTTTGATCCAAATTCACCCATTTATTCGTAATGTAAATTTCTCGACCTATACCTGACCCTACTCATATCCAAACCATAGCCGACCCGATCTATATTGCTAAAACATTTACAAATTTAATCCAATCTTGGAAAACTTGTTTCTTATGCTTTTTTTAAAAAAATTATATTGCTAAATTATTTCCGTGCAATACAAATCTAGTGGACAATTTTCATAAAAAAAAAAATAAAATTGAGGCTCCGTTTGTTTTGTGGAAAATGTGACATTTCTAGAAAATATTTTCCATGAAGTTATTTTCCAAGAAAATGACAATATTTTCCGGTGTTTAGCGGAAACCTGAAAATGAACTAGAAAATATTTTCTTCCGTTTGGTATAAAAAAGCTGATTTTATTTTCCCTTGTACACTCATTTTTATATTTTTTATTTTTTTAAAAATCGATTTCTTAATTATTTTTATTTTCTTTTTCTTTTTCTTTTTCTTTTTCCTTTTCCTTCATTTTCGGCCAATGGCCGACCACGGCCATGCCTGACGACCGGCCACAGGCGAGGCTCAAGCTCTCCCGATTTCGATGAGTCGAGCCTCGCCAGATCGGCGAAATTGTCCCTCGTCGTGGCCGGCCATCGATCAAGGAAGAAGGAAAAAATAAAAAAAAATAAAAATAAAAGATAATTATTATTTCAATTTTTTTAAAATATTTTTATAAAGCTGAAGAGGGAGAGAGTTTGTGAGCCTAGGGGTTGGAAATGGATTCTAAACTCAACCCATTTAGACCATTTATTTTAAACTTTATATTTTAAAACCCATTTAAGGTAGGCTTTTCAAAATTCAAGTAACCCATATATGACTTTAATACCCATTTTGACTGGTCTAGCTAGTAAGGACTTGGCATGTGCTCGGCAACATTAGCCATTAAGTTAGTAAGTTAGTGCTCAGGGTGCAATTCCCGTCAAGTATCTCGTAAATTACTTGAGCTCGACTTGCAAATTACTCAGGTTTGGCTCGATTCCTTTCTAGTTCGACGAGATAAAAGTTGAATTGGTCGAGGTTGAGAATTCGAAATACTTGACCGGACTGCTCGAGATACTAATTGGGTTGTCGAACATCTTCGTTTGTGTCCATATAAGCACATACTTTTTGGATTTCATCATACTTTCAGAACTTCAGCTCGAACCAAGCTCAAGATTGTGGAATATTTCATCGAGTTAAGTCGAGCTTGTAAAATGAAGCCTATTAACCAAGCACCAGTCGCATATTGAGCTTCGACTATTTGAGTCAATATCAAGTTTGAATATAATGTAGTACTGGTTCTTTTTTTCCTCTTAATTCACAAAGATGTAACTATGGTTTTTTGTGCTACAGTGGAAACAGATCTTCAAGCTGGGGCTAACCATAGATATGAGGTAGATAAAATAGTTCTAGTAGGTCTACTATACTCCTCAATTTATAATGAAGAATTGATATAAATTGCAAGAGGAGCAGAGGGAGAGAGAATTAAGTCTCGCACTGATCCTTGCGTTTTCTGATTGCAGCTTCTGTGGGTGATACTAATTGGGTTGGTGTTTGCTCTAATCATTCAGTCACTCGCTGCAAATCTGGGTGTGAGCACTGGTAAAAGAGAAAAACACAACACAAGTTTCACATAGATAAAGATGACATAGGTTACATGGCTTTTTTCAGTTTTGTTATTTAAATTGTATCTTTTCAGGGAAACACTTATCAGAACTATGTAAGGCTGAGTATCCGGACGTGGTGAAGTATTGCCTCTGGCTGCTAGCTGAAGTTGCTGTGATTGCTGCAGATATACCTGAAGGCATGCTTTATCAGGACATCAGTTTTTTTAATCATTTATAATCTTGTTTATTTCCTCTAATGATAGAGCAAGTGATATCTTGTGAGTTTCATCAATATGCAGTTATTGGGACAGCCTTTGCATTGAATATTCTGTTCCACATACCTCTGTGGGTCGGGGTTCTTCTCACTGGTAGTAGTACCCTCCTGCTTCTTGGGCTACAAAGATATGGGGTAGGCTTGTAATTTTTTTTGTTTGTGTTCATCTGAATGTTCTTTATTTTATAGATTGCTGTTGCTTGCCTTTTGTTTGCCGAGCCACTTCCTTGCCTGATTCTGTCATTCGTTCTTGTATATTTGGTTCTTCAAATCTGTGTGACTGTTAGTTTGCATGGGCCGTATTCCATGTGTGACGATACCCTCTTGAATTTGAAAAAGTTGATTCTTGATTCTAGGGCTAAACTTTCAAAGGAGACGAGTCATGCATCTAACTAACATTGTCTAAACTAATTCTTACACAAGCTATGTATAAGATGAAATTCCTTGTCTGAAACCAGCACTTGATACGTAATTTTGCTTGATATTGATCTGGTGGGGACTGGGAGTCATAAAACTACATGGCAAAGTCCAGAGAAGTGTCTTTTTTTCTGGTGCAAGCAAAGTAAAGAGTGAGAAACTGATATCCTCGGTTCTTTATGGTATGGTTCTGTACCATAGAAATTTTAGATGATCTAAAGTGAGGCTGTTTTCTCAAAAAAGGACTCATAAGGGATTTTGTCTCAATTAAAGCCCTGAAGTTGCCAACTTAGTCTCAAATAAGGCTCTGAGTTAACTAGTCGGCCAAATCTTTGCCGGCCAGTGAGCCCATGCATCTCAAGTGCATCTTTCGTGTGATGCACTGCCACATCGGTCACGAAGATTTGGTTGACGGTGAGTCGGGGGCCTTATTTAAGATTAAGTTGGCCTTCAACTCTGAAATGCACGACTAGTGTTGCTCAAAATTTTCTGGTTTCTTGTGAAATTGTTGCAGGTAAGGAAGCTGGAAATGCTGATAACAGCGCTGGTGTTCATAATGGCAGCATGTTTTTTGGGGGAAATGAGTTATGTGAAGCCTCCCGCATCTGATGTCCTGATGGGCATGTTTGTCCCTAAGCTTAGTGGTCAAGGAGCCACTGGCGATGCGATCGCTCTGCTGGGTGCCCTCATCATGCCGTGAGCTCTCTTCCTGTTCATAAGAAATATCTACTCTCACCGTTAAGAGACCTTTGACATGCTCTCGTAGTGTCTTTGGATCAGTTCTTCTGACCGGTCCTCTTCTTTGTCCCTGCCAGGCACAACCTATTTCTCCATTCTGCATTGGTGTTGTCCAGGAAAGTACCCAAATCTGTCTGTGGCATCAATGTAAGCATGATATCCACTGGAACAATTTGCATGAATCTGCATATGCTTGTTTATATAAGTACCACAGTGCCAATGTATGTGAGCTCCTTTTTGTCTTTTGTTGTTATTTTCGGGAAATGAAAATCAATGACCGATGCTCTGTTGACTTTGCAGGATGCCTGCAGATATTTCCTTATAGAAAGCGGTTTCGCATTGCTAGTAGCCTTTCTGATAAATGTTGCAGTTGTCTCGGTGTCGGGCGCCGTTTGCTCGGCCAAGAATCTGTCCAATAGCAATAACGACATGTGCAATGATCTCACACTTAACTCTGCATCGTTTCTCTTAAAGGTGCATGATCATTTGGTGATTTATTGTAATACAGGATTCGCTGCTATCGCCAAAACTCTCCCCTTTAAATTCTTTAAGTCATTCTATGCAGAATGTGTTGGGAAGATCAAGCTCGACCATATACGCCATCGCGCTGCTGGCGTCCGGCCAGAGTTCTGCCGTCACAGGCACCTATGCAGGGCAATTCATAATGCAGGTCTCTTCAGGGGAAAAAAATGCTCGATATTGCATTCATCTTTATTTACTTCAAACTAAGCTTGCTAATTCAACGGGGTATGCATCACATTCAGGGATTTCTGGACCTAAAGATGAAGAAGTGGACAAGGAACTTGTTGACAAGGTGCATCGCCATCACGCCTAGTCTTATTGTCTCAATTATAGGCGGATCTTCTGGTGCAGGGCAACTCATTATCATTGCATCGGTTCGTAACTAGTCGACCTTAACCCCTGAAATCTGCCTCTCTCCATGTTTTTCTTCCAATTTTCACTGATCGCAGAAACTTTTTATTTGGAACTGAGCAGATGATTCTTTCTTTTGAACTTCCATTCGCTCTCATCCCTCTCCTCAAGTTTAGTAGCAGTAAGACCAAGATGGGACCACACAAGAACTCCGTCATTGTAAGTTGATATTTTCCAGTTTAATGCGATTGCCACTCGTTTTGCACGTCCAGTAGCATTGTGTGCAAGTGCACCTAGTGAACACATCCTCATGAATAAGAACTGTAAGACCGAAATGCCGACCTTTAAAGCATAAACAACGCTGATACTGATGAGAAATTTTCATGCAGATAATTGTCATCTCGTGGATGCTTGGCTTCGGTATAATTGGCATCAACATATATTACCTGAGCACTGGTTTTGTAAATTGGCTGATTCACAACAGTGTACCAAGAGTGGCGAACATGTTTGTCGGGATCATTGTTTTTCCCTTAATGGCAGTCTATATCTTTGCGGTAATCTATCTGACCTGCCGGAGGGACACTGTCGTAACTTTCATAGAGCCAACCAAGCACGACCCAACAGAATCGAGCCACATAGAGAGCGGGTTGAAGGGTGCCGATGGAGGAGAGGAGGAAGATGAAATCCCATACAGAGAAGATTTGGCCGATATCGCTCTGCCCGAATAGGAAGTTGTGATTGAGGAGCATCAGCATTGACCATGTTGGTTAGTGACTCGTGTCATGACCTATGAGGTCATAAGTTGCTGTAATCTAAGTGGGTCTTTATGCTTTCCCTGTCGCTTGTTAATGGTAGTGAAGTGATTAGGCAATATTGGAATGTAGTAGTTTTTGCTTGATTAAAGTCGTACAAATATTCTATCCACGTTCCTAGGCAGCATCCCTTAAGTGAGCTCGACGAGCCATGTCTTCCATCTCACTACCCCGCTCGGCCCAGCGGCGGAAAGTTTGACCTAGAATCATGCGATTCCCTTGAACCATGTAGTTCCAACACCATCGACTTCTTTCCCCCTATTGCTGTGCACGTCTTATATAGTGTCCTCATCCATCTTTCTACTCGCTCTAGCCATCTCTCCCCATTTCACAGTCTCCCCGAGAAAAATTGGATGGATGTGGACTTATCCACACCACGGGATCGAGATCGTGGTCCAACCCCAGGTTTGACAGTAGAGTCTGGGCCTCTGATTGATGGCCGAGCCCTCTATGGATCGTGACAGAGCCATAAGCCACACAAACAATCAATTCTTCGAAGGATTCGCCAGCAACAAGATCACGGCCAACATATCGTCCCTGTTCCAATATCTTTCCAAATGGCCATAATAAGTGCTCACTGGCACCCATGAAGATGCTATGCGGTGCCAACAAAGCACCGCGGGGCAGGCATTACAGTTTGGCTAAACATGGCAAGAGTTGGTCAAGATCAGGTAACCGGTCAAGTCCAATTAAAGGTTGGCTACAGAAAAACGATTCGGTGCAAAGTTTTTTTCCCATATTTGCAATCTGCCTTTGGGATCAGAGATGGCCAATCTTTTGTGTGCTTAGCCTAACGAGAATTGTAATCTTCAAAGTCCTGCTGCACATAGTCATCTCTCTCTATGTTCAGAAATACACTGAAACTCCTGGCAAGGCCCCTATCAGTAATGTGGCACATGAAATACGAAGCCACACATCTATCTCAACACGTTGGAGGTTCAACTCTCATCTCTTGGGGGTTTGGGGAAAGGGACAAAATTGCCAAGCCAAAAAGGAAAAAAAGAAAAAAAAGTAATACACCAACATACAAAGAAGGATGTGTGAACAATTCTCATTATACCTTAGTGACAACTTCCGTTGGTTCTTGGAAATTCCCAGCATAATAATCACGTCCAATTTGTTAAATTAATGGAACACCTACTCTAAGATACATTCGCTATCCTTTTCAACCTAAACTAGAGTTAGTCCCTGGTACTGACCTCAGCATTTGATGATTGAGACTAGGTTGGGAATTGCCGGGAGCATTAAAAGCTGTGCTTGAAGAAGGTGCTGATGATGAGTTTATTGCTGAAAGTGGAAGCCTTGGCCCAAGTGGGAACACCGCCTGCCGTTGTTGAATGAATGGCATGTGAGAAGGAATCTGTTGATTGGTGGCATATCCCGGTGCACTCAGTTGCGAAGGTGATGCTGAGATGCCTGCTTGTCTAGGGTTGCCAGAGCTGCTGTTAGCCATTGGAGAAGCAACTCCTGTTATGCCTGCATGTGAAGTGACTCCTGTGGCTCCGAAGCGGGTTGATATAATTCGCATTCGGTCAGCAGCCAATCTCTGCCTTGTCTTCTCAACCTGCTCGCATTCTTTCATCAACAAGGTCTCAACTTCTGCAAACTGCTTCAGTTTCAGCTCCAATCTCTTTAACTGCACATGTAGATAGAGCTTATGAGAAACCAAGGTCCAAGATAAACCAAAATTATTTTTATCCTCTTTTAAAAGGTGGATGATTAGCTTATTAAGTTTTATCTAAATGAGATACTCTCGGCAATGCAGACAAAAATATCCATTGTCCAATCATCCAGCCAAAAAGTAATTGATCCTCCTTTACATAACCTACTAGTAAAACTTGCTTGAAATTTGTACTTATCTCAGGCTCTTATGAGCAAAAGTGCCGAGACAGGTCTATTGCGGACATAAACACTGCGTCATGATAACATCGAAACAAACCAATGCTACAGCACTAACAAAAAGGTACCCTTCAACAAATTTGCTAGCTAAAGTTTTGCCATCCAAAAGATTCACAGCACTCAAGGGCAATAACTGTAACCACAATGATGACTGGGCAAGTAAAAATCAAGATACCAAATATTTCAGTTCACCAGAGGCTGAGTTCTCACAAATTAGTTAAACAAGTCTTCACCCAAACAAAGAATAATTGAAGATATCAATGTCACAATTAACAGAAAGCTGTTGCACTTGCAGTCCAATATACATCAGAGTAAACTTAAAAACTTGTTTAATCAAAGCAAATTTTGATAAGAATAATGCTGTGAACACGAAGATTGGTTTACAAAATTAGTATACTGAGTAATGTCATAGATTCTTATCAATTATTAACTTGGTTAAATGATCATTTACAGTCTAACTCCACTAGTATATAAATTTGTAAATCAGTCTTCGTATACCTAGCATCACTCTATTGACAAATCATCTGGTCCAAAATAATTAAGAAAGCTTGTAAGTATCCCAGATAACAAAGCAAATATTGATTAGTCAAACACAGACAAGCATAAAGCTTTATACAGGGTCATAACCTCTAGTTAAACTTCTATGAAGTAGAACAAGTGATGCCAGAGTAAAACACAAAAATTTTGTAGAGTTATCTCAATTGGTGCAAGTTACGGTCGAAGGCATGTGGAAGAATCATCCATAAGCATCACTATGTACAAGTTAAAAACTCCAACAGAAATAATTGTGACCTCTGCCAAACACAGAGGAAACCTTAATTGCATCGTGGGACCTGTCCTTCCAACTTCAAACTTCATAAAGGTTCTGCAGCATTCAACTTTTCCCCTCTCCTTTAAATAAAATCCTTCGAAGGGGTTCTCCTCACATGCCATATAAAACTAAATTGGACTCGCCATGAAAGTAAATTCTTACTGATATGAGAAAAAAAAAAGATATTCATTCCGAAAACTAAATTGTCAAAAACTTGATAAGATTTTAGCAATAAGAAAATTTTGAAAAGATAAATCTCTAACAAAAGATTGTCTATTACTTTTACAGTTAGAAATGGCACAATAGTTTCACTAAAGGAAGTTGAATTTAAGAAATCAAACAATAATACTAATGATAGCCTCACCTGATGATTTATGATATTAGCTGACAACCTTTGAATTTCCCGTTCTTCATGATCTGCAAATAACTTCGCCTTGGTTGCAGCAGCAGCAAGACCAGCTTTTGCAGCAGCTTGGACTTTTTCTGGGGACAGCAAAGAACCATCTGCCTCATCTTGATTACCTATATCAATTTACAGCCAAGCCTCTTATAAAGTGCAAACATTAGAACCATAATGAAATGTTAGAGATCAGCATAGAATAAAAAATGTACAGAATTTGGAAAATTTCCAACCAACCTTCTTGTTGGACTGAATCTCCAGCTCGTGATGTCTCCAAATTCATCCTTCACGTAAGCAAAATATAATTAACTTTACATTCCAGGAAAAACTTGACAAATACTATGGGCTCAAGGTCAACAAGTCAAATTACTGAATAGAAAGCTTTGGAATTCTTCTAATGGAGATCAGTTGATATTGTGTTTTGAAAGTTCTACCAACATAAGCAAGATCTTTCCTGGCCACAACATAACCAAACAACGAGCATCCTACCTACTTAGATCCACAATGAGCAATTCCAATTACTTGGATCCATTTTACAAAAAAAGTGAGAACGTGATGGAGATGTTATCCGAGGGATGCAAGTTGTAGGAATCAATGTAGGATGACCAGGTGAGAAGCTATTCAGGTCTGGGGGTACATTTAGTGGCTGTAACAGTACTGCAAGCGGTAACTTAAAGGCTTAGGCTGAATTTTGACAACAGTTAGGGTAAAAATTGACGAGGATCCGAGGGAAAAGGTCTACTGAAAACATTGGGAATGAATAAATGGATTTCTGAAGAAAATGCTAAATATCTTTAGGCATCAATCCAAAAACTTCTTAAGCATCACACTGATAATTGCATCACACAAATCGGTAGAAATAATTGCCAAGACTGAACTTTCACTAACTCAATCAGTCATAATAAACCAGAAGGAGTGCATGATAAATAAAGACCCTACACCGCATTCAAATAGGAAATACATATGAGAAACATAAATCCTACTAAGAACAGGAAGCAAAACCTGAAAAGGAACTAATTAAAATCATCATAATACTCTGCAACAGCTCAGAAAATCAATTCAATTGAGGAAACAATGACATTGAGGTCACAATGAGAGTCGGAACAAAGAAAGCTGCTCACCTATGTCCCTGCGCCGATCCCTCCACCTGTATGATGTTACCTGATTCTGCCACACCATTTTCAGCAGACAACACTGCCAAGGATGCATGGGCACAAGCTGCGGCAACTCTTGGTGCTACAGCAGATGCCAGAAAGGAGACCTAGAGTTTAATTAGTATTAGATCCATGGAAAACCAAGTAGTGGGGAGTAGGCAGAAAAGGTACCTCTCCACCCAAAAAAAGAAGACACCTAAAGGCCAATACTCATGCAGCACCATGTTTGTGATAGAAAGATAATATACAAATGACTGCACCCCAGTCAAGCAATGAAGATGGATCATATGCCACCTAAGAAAGAAAAATCTAAAACTTTGACTCAACAGCGAGCATTCTTTGTACTAAGACATGGGCAGTGAAGCATCGATAGAAGTGTTAAGATGTATTTTAACCTCACACTAGGAGAAGTTCTATCATAATCACCCTCCAATGGTTTTCCACTGTTTAGCCATATCATCTAATGGGAAACAAATTTGGCACAAAATCAATGCTGAGACTCACCAGAGCCATCACTGGATTACCGGAATTGGCAAAAGGAAGCCTGTCTTCAGAGTTTGTATCTTGATGACAGGAACCTGAAGAAAAAAAGAAGGGTTGCAGCCAAACAATACTGCAAGCGAACAACTAGACGGAACTTCAAATATCAGCCAGTACCTCTTATATCCCCATTGACATTTGAATTTTGACGAGACTGATCATCTCCATTTGATAAACTGGATGACATTGATGCACCTGGAACTTCAATATTCTCCAGTATACCATTTTCCATGGGCAACCGAAGAAAATGAAGGATACATTGCGCTTTAGACTTGGTGCCTACATACTCCGCAATTTCATTCCAGTTCTCATTGTATTGTTCCACCCCCTCTAGCAGCAGCAATGTTTCTTGATTTGTCCAATTTTCTCCATCTAGATCATCATAGATTTTTGTGGAATCTGCCCTTGTAAA